TACTGCATTTTGACGATTCGAAGATTCATCGGCTATTTCGTCCCCATCCCGGGCCATTTGGCTCGTCCAGCGCCACACCGAACCCACCTTTCTGCAAGACCTTCTCGGCGGGAAAATATAGAGGCATTTTTGCACAGTTTATGATTCTCACAATAGGACGCTCTGCTCGGGATCTTTGCCCAAAGAAGAGCTCAGAGTGTTGTTACTTCCCTGCTCCTTTTCCTCACACCGTTCCTTGCTTGTTTTCTCTCGCCTGTAAACCGCTCAACCCCCCACCGCGCGTAGTTGTCGTGCTTTACAATGATGGAAGCGCACTCGTGCTCCCCTCCCCCCTCCCCCTCCCCTTCTTTCCTCTCCCCCGCGCGCATCAGCGGCGGCCATGATGAACATCAAGGCGGCCTTGGATCTCAGCCGCTTCACCGACTGGGACCCCGCCAATCATTGTGATGACGGCAACAATCCACCCGGTACAATCTGGGGCCAAATCAACTGCGATGCTAACGGCAACGTCTTCACGATGTGAGTGCCGCAGGCGGCGAGAAGGTAAGGTGTTGCGGCGCATTTCATCCAAGCTTCCTCTCATGAACTGCCTCACCGTTCCCTGCGTCTTTCAGTCCATCTAAGTTGCCGCGTTTCTGCCTCGTTGATGCTCGCAGCAACCTGGAAGGCTGGTCCATCACGCGAAGGAGCTTCTCGTCAGACGTCTCCAAGCTCACGGAGCTTCGCTATCTGTAAGTGCTCTCTGCTGCAGGGATGCTCTCTGCTGTAGGGATGCTCTCTGCTGCAGGGATGCTCTCTGCTGCAGGGATGCTCTCTGCTGCAGGGATGCTCTCTGCTGCCCGGATGCTCTCTGCTGCCCGGATGCTCTCTGCTGCAGGGATGCTCCCAGGATCGCTTGACTGTCTTGCACGTCCCTGGGCATGCATGCGGGCGGCATGGCCGTGCGTTCCATGTGTGACATGACACGCGCTGCTGCTCTCAATTGTGGATGCACTGTCTCACCGCGATCGTGTGGGCTTGCTGCGTGCAGGTTGATGGCGTATAACTTCCTGGATGGCAGCCTCGCCGAGTATCTCAAATACTTTAAGTCCAACACCAACATAGTTGGCATGTGAGAGATCATCCCCGCGCTGCTTTCGTTTCTATGCTGCTCTCGCTCATGCCTTGATAGATCAAAAGCACATCGGCATCTCAAGCTGACAGCTCTGGCTGCGTAGTCCCAACGCACTACATTATCTGCGCATCTTCGCTGTCCCTGTGCATCCCTGTCTCCCACGTTCCGCCAGAAACATGAATTACATGTATTTCTCCGGGACATTTCCGAGCATGCTCGCAAACCTGCCCGGCCTGACGTCTTTGTAAGTATAGTTGACGGCTCGTACAGGTATCGTGAGGACGAGCGCAGTGCTGCGCATCAACGGACACTCTGTGGGCGCAGAAGCTATCACACTTTTACTACTGCATGCGTCAAAGCTCACTCCCTACCTAACGCCTTTCCGGCGGCCTCACTTCAACCCTTGTCCTCCCTCCCCCATTCCCTCACTCACCCTACTCACTCCACTCACTCACTACAATCAGTCACCCAATCACACTCACTCTCAATCCCTCACTCACTCACACACTCACTCACGCCTGCTTTCTCGCTCTCTCCACCTTAGTTCACCCGCCAACAACGCGTGCTGTACCCCACAGGTCTATACGTGCCAACTTCCTGTCGGGCTCGCTGCCATCAACCGTCACCAAGCTGAAGCGCATCGACTTCACTCGCAACTTCTTTACGGGCACCGTGCCCATTAAAGCCTGGGAGTACTGCGGTGTCACCACTAACTGCTTCTCCAACCTGGGCAAGTGCAGCGGGACCCAGCGGGCCTCGTGCGCTATTTGCGGCAGCACGGACGGCACGGGCGCGCTCTGTAGTCCGGGGCAAGGATGCAAGCCGAACGCTGATTCGCAGATCAAAGCGAAAACGAATAACTATGCGAGTGATATTACCTTGATGGGGTGCGCGGACATCCCCACCTACATGGACATCGATGATGGTCAGTGGTACTGGTGCTTGCTTGCTCGCTTTTCTGTCTACTCGTTCGATCGCCACCATGCAGTCCAAACTTGGTGCTTTCTGCTCTGCTCCACCACCTGCTCCTTCCGCGCCTGTCGCTGCCGCACTCGTTTTCCACTCTCCCTTCGTCCACGTCTCATGAGTTCCCTTTGTGCCTCGCTGCATTGCCGTGCGGCCCCGCTTGCCACTCCCTGCAGCCGCCGCCATGCTGAACATCAAGAGCACGCTGGGAGTGAGTCACACCTCCTTACATCACATGAGCTTCCTCTGTACTCATTTTGCCCCGCTTGCCACTCCCTGCAGCCGCCGCCATGCTGAACATCAAGAGCACGCTGGGAGTGAGTCACACCTCCTTACATCACATGAGCTTCCTCTGTACTCTTTTTGTCCCGCTTGCCACTCCCTGCAGCCGCCGCCATGCTGAACATCAAGAGCGCGCTGGGAGTGACCTTTACCACGTGGAACGCCAACGCTCCGTGCCACGTGATTGGAAGCCCGGTGACCTTCGCCACTGAATGGACTGGGGTGTGGTGCAACAGCGACGGCAAGGTGCAATTATTGTGAGTGCACGCCTCCGCCTCACCCACACCTCCGCTCCGCTTCACCCACACCTCTGCCTCTCACCCACACCTCTGTCTCTCACCCACACCTCTGCCTCTCACCCACACCTCCGCCTCTCACCCACACCTCTGCCTCTCACCCACACCTCCGCCTCTCACCCACACCTCTGCCTCTCACCCACACCTCTGTTGGAGATTACGTGTGTTGGAAGCAAGGTGGTGGTGGGGCGTTTGTATGCCCCCAACCCACCGAATGTGTGGCTTGTGCTCACCTTCGAGTGAGTTGCAGGTTTGCGTGGGGTTGAGGATTGACTTCGGAAGACCCATTCGATTCGGTGCCACATGGCAGCACCAGGAACATTCGAGACCCAAGGAGAATTCGGATCGGTGAAATTCGAGAGTCGTATTTCACCCTTTCGATGTTACTCGAACATTCGCGAGTGTAGCGGTTCGAGGTCACTTGTGCGATTCGATCTTGTTTGCATGCTATAAATCTGTTTTCTTTGTATTGCATGCCATCATAGTGAAACTCAGAGTTCTTTGTACAAGGTACATTCGAACACAAATTCCAGAGAGCTTCTTTACTTGCATTCAAGAGCACCACCTAGCACGTGAACGCCTATATCTCGGAGAATACTTAGGCGATCGACGTGTTTGACGGCTCGTTGGAAAGCTAAAACAGAGCTCTATCGTTTAGAACAACTCCCAGTTCCTGCAAAGTAGAGGAGAGTCCTCTACAACAGTGGTATCAGAGCTGGTCGGAGGAGTCTACGCGCGCGACAAGGAGCACGCATGATGACTTCAAGCGAGGCCTCCCGCACTTCCTTGGATGGTGTCGTTGTAAATTCCGACGAACCCTGGGCAACCGCGACGATGTTTGACACGTCGGCGGTACCGATTTTCACGGGACAAAACTACTCCGCGTGGAAGTTTAAGTTCCAAGTGCTTATGATGGAGCGGGGACTTTGGGGTTTCTTCGATGGAACGGAGAAGAAGCCGGACGATGAGAGCGGCATCGCGGCATGGAAGAAGAAGGACCAAAAGGCGTTCGCTACGTTGATTTCGCGCATCGGCATCAATCTCGTGAGCTCGGTGCGCATGTGCATCAAGCTCGAAGCGTCGGCGCATGAAGCGTGGAAGCGGCTCGAGACCATCCACGTGAACAAGACTCTCCACGGCAAGATCCTAGCCCGGAATGCGTTCTACACGGTGAAGATGCGCGCGGGCGAATCGATGCACGAGTTTGCGACTCGTGTGGAGGAACTCGGGGAAACGTTCATGGACCTCGGTGGAACGGTCACGGAGGAGGATTGGATTCTCACCTTGCTTTGCGGCCTTCCGGAAGAGTGGTCGACGGTGATTACGACACTCGATAGCGTGCAAGACACTTGGACGAAGGAAATGGTGGTTGGTCGGCTTCTCCATGAAGAATCGCGTCGCCGACAATTCGCTAATGAGAGCGAGGGTGCCGCCATGTACTCCGGAGGGAGTTCCGGAAAGAAGTCCAAGTGGAGCAAGGACGCAACGAAGGAATCGTCCGGTGGGAGCGAGCATCGCGGCAAGTGTCACTATTGCCGCAAACCGGGACACTTTTGGCGTGAGTGTCGAAAGCGGCCGAGCGATTGGACTCCATCGATGGCGCGGGACCAAGAGGGCAACGCGCACACGGCATCCGGCGAGGCCGATGATTCAAAGGAGTCGCTCGTGTTAGTGGCCGGCAACGGGAACAAAACTCCAAGCGACGCGTGGTTCCTCGATACCGGCGCAACGCAACACATGACGCACTCGGCGTCGCTCCTCAACAACATTGGCGCTCCGGGAGACGTCACGAGCATCGTGTTCGGAAACAACGAATCGCTACCGGTGGTCGGAGTTGGGAGTACGCGCCTCATCGTCGATAGCGGTCCGGTGGACGTGACGAACGTGTTTCACGTCCCGGGGGTGAAGGTGAACCTTCTATCCGTCCCGCAACTTGCGAAGAAGGGAGTGATCGCCACGATCGACGGTGCGAAAATGAACCTCTTTTGGAAGGGGGAGCAATTCGCGCAAGGTGTTCTCAACGGAGATATCTACCAACTCAAGACGTACCCGAGAGCGGCTTCATCCAACGTGGCGCAAGGCTCCAAGGCGACTCTCAAGGCGTGGCATAATCGGCTTGCTTCATTTTCTACTATTCACCTTCATGCCTCCCCATTCCATCTCTCATTAACTCCTTTCTCGTCTCCCCCTCTCCTCTTCCTTTCTCCTCGCCTCTCTCTTTTCCCTGCCCCTCCCGCCCACGTCTCCCTTCCGCACCAATCGCTGCCCACCACTGTCCACCGCTGCCCACCGCTGTGCTTGGATAACGCAGGCGGCTGAACCTGAACTACCTGACGGGCAGCATGCCGGCAGCACTGCCAGCATCCCTCAAGGTGATCGACCTGTCGAGCAACTACCTGGAGGGCACCTTCCCCACCACCACCGCCACCTCCGTCGCCTGCGCCAGCAACTGCCTGCAGGACGCCTCCAAGTGCCTCGCCGGCTCTGCTCAGCGCGCTGCAGGCGCCTGTGCCATCTGCGAGACGCCCAACGCCACGGGCAGGATGTGCGGTGGCGGCATCTGCACGCCCAACGCCACGGCGCTCATTGCGGCCAACACCAACAACGCGGACACGGCGTCGCTCTACTGCCTCGGCGCCACCATGGATCCCGTCATGGGTGAGTGCGCGGGAGGATGGGGTGTGTGGAACAGACGTACAAGCACCTTCGTGTGATGCTTTGTGAGCCGATTCAGCATGGATGCATCTTTGCAGCCATGCTGCTCCTGCATTCTCACCCACGCCTATTTCATCCGCATCCTGCCCTGTCCCTCCCTCGCCATCCGCCCTCTCCCTCCCCCAGCGGCGGCGCTGCTGAACATGAGGGCATCGCTGGGGGTGACGTTCACGGACTGGGCGCTCGACTCGCCGTGCACCATCCAGGGGCTGGCCCCGCTGCCAGGCGCCTGGTCCAACGTCGTCTGCAACGTCTCCGGCAAAGTCATGTCGCTGTGAGTGCCTCTAAGGACGCGGCACCTCTACCACCATCCTGCTTTCGATCATGCGCAGGATCGAAAATTGGAGTTTGAAATGGTGCTAAAAGCTGTAAATGCTTTCAGCAGGTTTTCAGTGCGGTGGAATCAGCGATCCTGAGATCGATCGTGCAAAATTGCTAGAGGTGCCGCGTCCTAAGCTTGTGCTGCACCACTCCTCATAGTCTGGGGGGGGCTACTCCAATTCGCTGAAATGCCAATTCAATGTGTGTCCTTGTGGGTGTGGCTGTGTTGTGTGTGTGCACGTGTGTGTGTGTGCGGCCGTTGGTCATTGCGCAGCAATCTGGCGCAGCAGAAGCTCCAAGGGAGCATGCATGCGGACATCTCCAAGCTCACTGCCCTCACCTACATGTAAGCACCCTCATGTGCATGTGATCACCCTCACGTGCATGTGATTACCCTCACGTGCATGTGATCACCCTCACGTGCATGTGATCACCCTCACGTGCATGTGATCACCCTCACGTGCATGTGATCACCCTCACGTGCATGTGATCACCCTCACGTGCATGTGATCACCCTCACGTGCATGTAAGCCACACACCTGCCCACTCAGAGTGACCCCTGTACTCTCGTACTTCTTATGCGCTCTGCTGACGTCTTTCTCTCATCCCATGCCGCTCATCTCTCACCTCTGTGTTTGCGTGCGCTGCGTGGCACTGGCAGCAATCTGCGCACCAACCTCCTGGAGGGTCATCTGGACGTCTTCACCACCAACTTCAAGGCGCTCACCGCGCTCAAGGAAGCGTGAGTGCTGCCTGCATGGAATTGGCCCACCCCACTGCACCACGCCGCACCGCACTGCACGACCTTGCCTCCAGCCTCCTGCCACCGCATCCTCGTTTTGTCATCACCGTGGGTAGCGTCACTTTCTGAACGTGCATGCTTCCTTCCTGCCACACCTTGCCCTCTCCTCCCCTCCCTGTTCCCCCCGGCTTCTCTTCACATCCCCCTGCAGCTACCTGGACTTCAACTGGTTCACAGGCCCCATCCCTTCCACCCTCGTCTCCATCGCCACCCTCTCCACCTTGTGAGTCTTGCCGCTCCTTGCCGCTCCTTGACACCGGATGGGACAGCCACCTCTCTTAGAAACGTCCTCCTTGCATTGCAAGTGTCTCCCCGTTGCCAGCCCCACCTCACGCTTGTCCCGCAGCGTCAAGCAGTCAGAGATAATGCACGTAGACGCCCTGCTCCCATCATTCCGTCTCGTCTCACATCACACCACTGCTGTTCTGCCCCTTCCCTTTGCCTCACCATCGCCACCCTCTCCACCTTGTGAGTCTTGCCGCTCCTTGGGAATGCCCTTGAGTCCTCCGCTCCTTGACACGGGGATAGCCACCTCTCTTAGAAACGTCCTCCTTGCATTGCAAGTGTCTCCCCGTTGCCAGCCCCACCTCACGCTTGTCCCGCAGAGTCAAGCAGTCAGAGATAATGCACGTAGACGCCCTGCTCCCATCATTCCGTCTCAATCCACTGCTTTTTTGCCCTTGCCCTTGGCTCTGACAGACCCTGCCTTTTATCCGCTGAAGCCTCCTATCGTCAAACACATGCTTTCACACTGCCTCCTCCCTTGCCCACCCTCCCCCGTCCCCCTCCCACAGTGGAGCGAGCTACAACTACCTGTACGGGGCCATGCCCACTCCAGGCGCGGCACTCAAGGCCATAGCGCTGGACGGCAACTGGCTGTCGGGCACCTTCCCCGGCGCCGGCTTCTCCTCCTGCTCCGCCACCGCCAACTGCCTCACCAGCATCGGCGCCTGCACCACGGGAGGCACCGTGCAGCGCGATGCGGTTGCCTGTCCTGTCTGCGACAAACTGGATGGCTCGGGCACAGTGTGCGGCGGCGGCACGTGTGCGCCTGACACAACTGGTCCTCTCGCCAGCAGCACTCCCAACAGCGCCACGGCGGCGGTGCTGCCGCGCTTCTGTGTGGGCGTGCCACTGGACGCCACACAGGGCAACATCCTGTTAGCACTCAAGACCACTCTGGGCGTCACCTTCTCTGATTGGACCGCCTCCACACTCGCCGCCCCCAAGGCCACCTCGCCCAAGCCCAAGACCGGCAAGAAGCCCAAGGGCGGGTCGAAGCGGCGCACCCTGCAAGGGAGGGGGTCGGGGCTGCTGTACGACTGGAAGGCGGTGGGGTCGTGCACCATCGTCGGCCAGACGCCCATCGCTGGCTCGTGGACTGGCGTGCGCTGCTCTCCTCTTGGCCAGATCGTCGGCCTGTGAGTGCCGCTGCTCCTGCTGACCGTCTCTCCTCCACCTTACCTTGCTTGTGTGGCGGGGTGCTTCTCCCGAGCGTCTCTCACTGACCTCTCTCCCCTGTCCCTGTGTGCCCCTGCTGTTGCTGCATGTGCCCCCTGTTGCTGCCTGAAACCCGGTGTGCAGGGACCTGCGGAGCCAGCTGTTGAGTGGCACAGTGCACTCCGACATCAGCAAGCTCTCCACCCTCACCTCGCTGTAAGCCAACGCTCACCTCGCTGTAAGCCGCCCCTGCACTCTCTGTGCTTAATCCATCCATTAATCACATCCCGTGCCACCAGCTGTGCTGCTCACAGCAGTTGCTTCTCAGCCTCGCAGGCACTGCAGCAACCCACGCCCACCCTCTCTCTCTCTCTCGAATGGTCCTTGCATTACTATGAGGGGTGGTACAAAGGAAGATGCAGAACACACAAGCACAACAAACATCCAAACCGAGATCCGAACTACCTCAAGTCTCCTACCTACTCGCCCCCCCCCCCCCCCCTCTGTCCGACCCTACTGGTCGAACGGGGCCTCAATCAACAGGCACAGCCAGTTGGCGATCCCGCCCCCCCCCCCCTCTGTCCCTCTCTCCAACTCTCTCTCTCTCTCTCTCTCTCTCTCTCTCTCTCTCTCTCTCTCTCTCTCTCTCTCTCTCTCTCTCTCTCGCACTTGTCAGCTTGTTTGCTGCCCTCATCCCTACTACCCCCTCCCCCACGCCCTTCACCCACACTCTCCTCCACACTTGCTTCCGCCTCTCCTAACCCCCTGCTCTGCCCCCCTGGGCGTGCATGCATGCAGGCGGCTGTCGTCCAACCTCTTCTTCAACCGCCTCGACTCCTACATCGTGCCCATCACACCTGCAGCCACCCTCAAGGAGGTGTCAGTGCCGCCACGCCTCCGCCCCTCCATGATTCACCCGGCTCGTCCTCCCACCATTATCTCTGCCCTCTGCTCTCATGTTCCTTCATTACTTCACTTTCGCTCTCTCCTGTCCACTCAAGCCCAAAACATTGAATCTTCGTGTGTAAACAATGCACCTTGTCCCTGCGTGTGCATGTGTGTGCGTGCTCCCTCATCCCTCTCTCCACCAGCTTCATCAACTTCAATTGGTTCTACGGCACCGTCCCCACCACGCTTGTCAACATGCCAGCCCTCTCCTTCCTGTAAACCCCTCGCCCTATACCTCCCTCCACCCAACTTCTCTTCCCCAACTACTTGCCTGCCCCATCCCTCACACCCACTCCCGTTCTTCATACCGCTCCAAGCTCCCCTTCACGCATCCGTTCCTAACACACCCCGCTTGCTTCCTGTGCATGCGACCCCCAGCGTGGTGAGCAACAACTACCTCACGGGCACGCTGCCCAAGCCAGCAGCGACACTCAAGGGGCTCGACACAGAGTACAATTTCCTCTCAGGCACCTTCCCCGCCGCCTCTCTCGCCTTCTGCTCCGCCCGCGGCAACTGCTTCCTCGACGCCACTGCCTGTGTGAACATCGACGGCACAGCACAGAGGGGAGCGGGGTGCAACGTGTGTGCGTCACCCAAAGGGCAGCTGCCGCTGTGTGGCGGGGCGGTGTGCACGCCCGACCCCTCGGCGTATGTGGCGTCCAAAGTGCCAAACAGCGCCACCGCTCCCACCCTCGCCCTCAAGTGCCCTGCTTTCCCCCTCGACGCTGCCACCTGTGAGTGGCCCCCTGCCCATGCCATGCCTGCTGCACCGCATTGCGCCGCCAGTCTTCGCATGCAGTGTGATGTGCGCATCCAGTGTGATGTGTGCATATGCCATGCTGCCTGCTGTGTAACGCCCACGGGCCTCCATGAAGGGTTGAAAGCCATCCGCTGTGCCTCTTTTGCAACCCCGTTTTGACCCAGTGGGTAGCGGGGCGTGATATACTGCCTTCCCTGCTGCTCACATGGACGTTTGTGCACAAATGCTCACCTGTGTCTCCTTCTTGCCCCCCATGAGCAGCGGCGGCGCTGGTGAACATAGGGGCGGCGCTGGGAGTGACGCACTCGGACTGGAGCACCAACAGCGTGTGCAACATCCTCGGGCAGAACGTCGCCCCCAAGTCCTGGCCGGGCGTCTGGTGCAGCGGCAGCGGAGCCGTCACGATGCTGTGAGCCTTCCATTCCACGCCTGCCCTCTCTCCTTTCTAGCACCCTCAAATATTTTATTTTCATTATCCAAATTCGAACTAGAAGGACCAAGTCGAGCAAAACAGAGCGACAGCGAATGCCAGACCTCGCTACATTTGGGTTTTAAAAAGCCTTTCTCTTTATAACGGTTATACATGGTGCATTGCGGTTATCTTGAGTGTCCATGTCTTGGACAGCATTTGGGCAGGGCAGTAATGCGCCTTCAGTCTGGTGGCGCCAGAGGAGTGACTAGGAGCGAGAGAGAGAGAGAAAAAAAAGTTAGTGCTGAAAATTTTGGTGTTGTTCGAGAGAGCGAGAGAGAGAGAGAGGATTAGCCTCTCCCCTTCTACCCTCTGCCCTCTGCTTTCTGCCCTCTGCCATGACTACTTAAGGCCACGGCGGCCTCTCCATCTCTCATTCTTTCAGTTAGTGCTGAAAATTTTGGCGCTACGCGAGAGAGCGAGAGAGAGAGAGGATTAGCCTCTCCCCTTCTACCCTCTGCCCTCTGCTTTCTGCCCTCTGCCATGACTACTTAAGGCCACTGCGGCCTCTCCATCTCTCATTCTTTCAGTTAGTGCTTAAGGCCTTCGGCCGCGCGTTAGGGATGGCAAGGGGAAACAACAAGCAGTAGTAGCTTAGGCAACCGATACAAACAAAGCAAGCATAGACACTTAGCAAGTAGAGGATGGAACGGGTCTATACGCGCAAGGGGGGAGCGCCTACATGCGGTCCGCCTCTACCGCAGCGAGCATTCCGCTCGTGTTCAACCACAACTGGCGGACCACAGACACGGTGGCGCCTACAACGTCAACAGGAGTACCAGGGTCTGCTACAAGCGTCCTCAGAGCCAGGGCCGAGTCAGCCAGCTGGCTGGCCGAGGTTGCTCCCGGCGAGGGCGCTACCTGCAGTGGCGTTACGAGCGCGAATAGCGCTGACGCCGCCGCATGACAATCTGCTCGCGGTTTCTGAGAGAACCTGCTCGGAGGGCTCACCGGCATGGAGTCAAATGACTCCTGGAGAATCCGCTCAAGGCTCTGCAGGGACGCCGCCAGCGACCATAGGCGGGCCTGGGTCGCCGTGGGAACTTCCTTCATCGGCGGAAGTAACGCAGACGCGCGGGCACGGTGAGACGACACGGCGAGATCACGCGGAGCAGGAAGAGGACGCGGCGGAGCAAACTGAGCCCACGGCGGCCCGCCACCAGCCTCTACGAAGCCCATCCCCGCAGGCAGCGGCCGCTCTGAACGCGCCGGGGATCCAAAGGGATTGTGGGGCAGGAGCGCGGAGAGAGGGACGACGGGAGCAGCGCGAGGAGCTGATGGTGATGCCGACCCCGCACGCAAGCGACGAAGCTCCTTCTCCACGTCATCAAGCCTATCCGGAAGACGGCGCTCCATTGCGGACGGCGCTGGACGCGCTTTTCCGCCGCGACTGTCACCCCCCCGTCGCCCACGACGCGCACGCCCACTTGCGCTCGAGCGCACAGGCGACTGCGGGCGAGATGGGCCCTGCTGACGCTGGCGGCCAGGAAATCGGTCCCCGCGACGAGGGGAGTAGAGCCGTTGGCGCTTTGCAGGAGGGGGCGAACGCGGAGCTGGGGGCCGACGCCCAGACGTCTGGCGGGCAGGCGACCGCTGGCGAGATGAACGGTGAGGGGGCGAATGATGACGATGCGAACGGCGGTCACGGGATCGGCTTCGCGACGCCACGCGACGAGGCGAACGAGGCGACAGCGGCGAACGGGCCGCACCGTGACGATCATCGCGGCGGCTCTCCCGCTTATCGTCGCGAGCTGCCGATGAGCGACGGCGAGGCGAACGCTCCTTGTGCGCCACAGCCTCTGCGCCGGAGCGCAAGACGGACCCCGCGCGCGGGGGCTCCCGCGGTGACAAGGACCTGCCCGCGCGCGGAGCCAACTCGCGCCGCTGGTCCTCGAAGCGACGGCGGATCTGATCAGCGGACGCCGGCGGAGCAACAGGCACGCTCGCGGCAGGGCGTGCAGGAGGAAGCGGACGGGGAGCAGGATCGCTCTCCGCGGTGCAGTCGCGGCCAAGAGCGCCAAGGAAATCCATTGGCCAACGCTCAAGACGCTCCACTGGCACACGAGGAGCCGACAACGCCGATCTCCCAGGCGCAACAGGCGGAACCTGTGGCAGCTACCCCGCGGAGCGGACGGGGAAGCACGCGGGTGAGAGGCGGGCGACGAGGAGCGCGCGGAGGGCAGAGGAGCACAGGCCAAGCGGGAAGGGGACCGCCCTGCCAGTTGCCGAGCCCAATCTGGTTGGGGGAGCCGGCGGAACGAGTCACGCGCCAGTCATTCGCCAGGCGGGGGGTGAGGGGAGGAACACCAGCGCAAGCGGGGAGAAACAGGGATATCAACACAGAGGGGAGTGGAGACGATTATATTCCGTCAGATCTGAGGCAACCAGACGATCCCGCCTCACCTCACGCGGAACAAGGAGAGGGGCAAGCGCAGCAACAGGAGAGAGGAACCGGCCGCAGACAGCATCGCAGGGCTCAGCTTCCCCCGGACCAGGCACTATCGGCGTCCCAGCTGGCCTCGCGGGAGGATCTTTTCCAGATCGCGATGACTTGGGACCTTACACTCCTAACCTCCACCACCCACCTACCAATCGTCCGCCGACTGCCGCCGCAGATCCTCAGCGACTACTCCACCTGTATGCTGGCTGCCCTACTTCGGATCTCCAAGCTGCCTAACTGCGCAGGATCATGGCGGGTCCTCATGTTCCTGCCACGTCTCACGCTAAGACTTAGCCGGAGATCCAGCTCTAGATGGAAACTGCTGCGGGAACAGATGCATCTATTCCGATGTGGCCACTGGACCCAGCTGTACACTGACTACTTGGGGTCAATGCACCTGGCCGAACCACCTCAGCACCAACGTGACCCACTGGGAATCTGCTCACGTGCGGAGGGGTTGGTGAAACGGGGTAACCTGCGAAAGGCGTTAGCAGCCCTACAACCCTCGCCTTCAGCACCTGCGACAATTGCGACACTACAGCAGCTGGAATCGAAACACCCCCAACCCCAAAATGACCTGCCCGAGTGGGTGCATTCCTACACCACACCCAAGCAATTCTCAACCACTCTGGAACGATTTTCCGACGTCCTTGGAGAATGCCCCAGGGGAATTGGGGCTGGCCCATCGGGGTCAACTTTCGAACACTACCGCGATCCAGCGCTAAGTAACATCGAGGTACTAGGGCACCTCCACTCCGCCGTTACGCATCTTCTCTCGACAAATCTTTCCACTAAAGTCGCAGCACTACTTGCCCCGTCCCGCCTTATAGCCTTCGCCAAACCAGGGGGGGGGGTACGTCCCATTGCGATTGGAGAGTCATTGCTTAGGCTGGCGGCGAAGGTGGCACTCTCAGATCTGCAAGGAGAAACGCGAAATTTTTTCCTACCTCAGCAATTTGGCGTGGCAGTCCCTGGAGGTGCAGAATTTGTCATCCATGCTGTCCGAGACCTCACCACGGTGCAGCCCTCCAGCCTAGTACTCCAGCTCGACATTGAGAACGCGTTCAACTCAGTAGAGAGGAGCGCGTTCTTCAACGCACTCATCGGCTCCCCACTAGCTCCCCTAATCCCCTTCACACGCTCTTTCTACGCAGCATCTTCACCGCTGCTGCTGGACCCATGCTTCAATTCCACGGCACTCACCAGCGGAAGGGGAGTCAGACAGGGGGATCCCGTCGGACCTCTGTTATTCGCAGCGTCTATCCAGCAGCACCTCAGGCACGTAGCAACGGAGCACCCCGAAGTCACGGTCCTCGCTTACGCGGACGACATAACCATGATTGGACCCGCGGCGGCGACGCTGGAAGCGCTCAGGGAGCTCACGCCGCTGCTGGCACGGGACGGTCTCACCTGCAACTTTAGGAAGTCGTCGGCGTGGTCCACCGTGCCGCTAGGAGGGGACGTACTCCCCGAGGGCCTTCCCCTCACCCGCGAGGGGGTGCGGGTGTTGGGAAGTCCAGTGGGGTCGCAGAGCTTCTGCTCTGATTTTGTCCGCAGCACCCTGACAGACGCGGCAGCCCCCTTGGGCTCTCTGGCGTCCATCCACCCATAACACGCCCTCCTGCTACTGTCTCGTTGCATCAGCCGCAGAGTCGGCTACCTGCTGCGCACTACCCCAGCTGACGTCTTACCGCTCTCGGAATGGCACACATGGTGCGCCGAATTACTGAACACTGCCTTGACCGCCGCCAGCATTCAACCGCCACGCCGACAAGCCGAGTTCAACTTCCTTCTCCGACAGGCAACTCTCCCAGTAGCCCTAGGCGGACTGGGCCTTACGGACCCCACAACTGAAGCAGCACCGGCCTACCTGGCATCTACAACAGAGGCGCTGCGCCTGCTCCGCTCCCTGGACTTACCGGCAACCGCGCCGCTAGGGGCCGACAGCAACGCCCTGCAGCCGTCTGCAGCGCACTCCGTGACCATCCAGGACATGGAGGGGCGACTGCCACCGCTGGCGCTACAAAACCTACGGGAGGAGCAGCAAACCCCGTCCCAGGACCAGCTGCAGCGCGCCCTCTCCCAGGAAGTGCACGCGGCAAAGGCCGACGCCCTAAGAGAGGAGTCACGCGCAATACAGTCAGCCCCCGAGATGGGCCACACACTCCGCCTAGTCAGCCTGAGAGGAGAGGGAGCGGGAGCGTGGCTGCAGGCACTACCCTTGACCCCGGACCTCTGCTTCTCACCGGGACAGTTCCGAGCGGCCCTGGCCTTCCGCATGGGCATCCGACAGAATGTACCAACCGTGTGCGAGTGCGGAGAACTCGTAGCCGACTGCAGCCTACCCAACCACTTACTCCGCTGCAGCACAGGCCCCGACAGGACGCGCACACACAACCAGCTGGCCTTCGCCATGGCTAAAATGGCGAGGGAGGCGCAGCTGGTGGTATACCTGGAGAATGCGATGTACTCACCTCCGGATGACCCGAAGAAGGCAGATGTGATTGTACAAGACCCGGACAGCGGAGAGACCTGGATCACAGACACCACGATCACTGACCCTGTGCTGCAGAACCGAGACCCCACGGCCCGCAAACCCCCAGGTTGGGCTGCAAGGGAGGCACAGAAGCGGAAGGAGAGGGACTACTACCGACACACTGAACACGTGGTGTTCTGCGCCCTGGCCGTCGAGACCTATGAGGCAAACGCGCCCCCCACGACGGCGTTCCTGAAACTGCTGGCCACAGCAGCAGCTAGGAACCGCTTCAGGGCCAGCCCCTTGGCGAAATCCGCCAAGAAGATGGCCTGCCACTTCAGCCAGCGCTGGTCAGTGGCCCTCCAGCACTCCCAGGCGAACGCCCTGCACACCAAGGCCAGGGCTGGGATTGAGGCAGCACACCCCCAGATGGCAGCGGACCCCTGGCCGCTGCACCTAGGGGACATCCTCCACACGCTGGAGGGCTAGAGGGTCACTCAGGGGGGAGGGGAGGGGAAGAGGGGTGAGTTGATGGGCTTATGGGATTGAGGTTATCATGGATAGAACTGCATGTCTGTACCCCTGCTGAATTAATACAACGGACCATTTGAGAGAAAAAAGTTATTGTATGAGTCTCTGTGTCTCTCTCATTGCCAACGACTTTCATGAGGCTTTTCTGTCTTCCCTTGCCCCACCCACTGTGCGTGCTGACACGGCAGCACTCTACAAAACTTGAACCTGCGGGGCACCATCCATGCAGACATGACCAAACTCACCGCCCTCTCCAACCTGTATGTGCATCGCTCACCTGTACGTGCATCGCTCACCTGTACGTACATCGCTCACCTGTACGTGCATCGCTCACCTGTACGTGCATCGCTCACCTGTACGTGCATCGCTCACCTGTACGTGCATCGCTCACCTGTACGTGCATCGCTTACCTGTACGTGCATCGCTCACCTGTACGTGCATTGCTCACCTGTACGTGCATTGCTCACCTGTACGTGCATCGCTCACCTGTACGTGCATCGCTCACCTCTACGTGCATCGCATACCTGTACGTGCATCGCTCACCTGTACGTGCATCGCTTACCTGTACGTGCATCGCTCACCTGTATGTGCATCGCTCACCTGTACGTGCATCGCTTACCTGTACGTGCATCGCTCACCTGTACGTGCATCGCTCACCTGTACGTGCATCGCTCACCTGTACGTGCATCGCTCACCTGTACGTGCATCGCTCACCTGTACGTGCATCGCTCACCTGTACGTGCATCGCTCACCTGTACGTGCATCGCTCACCTGTACGTGCATCGCTCACCTGTACGTGCATCGCTCACCTGTACGTGCATCGCTCACCTGTACGTGCATCGCTCACCTGTACGTGCATCGCTCACCTGTACGTGCATCGCTCACCTGTACGTGCATTGCTCACCTGTACGTGCATCGCTCACCTGTACGTGCATCGCTCACCTTTACGTGCATCGCTCACCTGTACGTGCATCGCTCACCTGTACGTGCATCGCTCACCTTTACGTGCATCGCTCACCTGTACGTGCATCGCTCACCTTTACGTGCATCGCTCACCTGTACGTGCATCGCTCACCTTTACGTGCATCGCTTACCTGTACGCGCATCACCTCATTTGCAAGCTTCCCGTTTCCAAAGCGTCGCCTCTTCTCCCCCCGCATGCTCCTCCGTTCCCCCATGCAGGCATCTGGGCTACAACCTGCTGTACGGCCGTCTCGCCACCTTCGTCTCCAACATCACGCCGCTCACCGCCATTGCCACCCTGTGCGTCCCCTCTCCTTCCCCCACCAACCCTCCACTCACATGCCTCCCACCCCCCCCCCCCTCAATGCCTCCCACTTACCCCCCTCTCACATGCCCGCCTCCCGCTTTCTGCAGTCCCTCGCTCGCTGTCTCTCTACATGTTCCTCGTTCTCCTTGTCTCGGCTCACGCAACCCGTCCCTCGGCATGTGTGCGTGGCGTGCCTCTCTGCATGGGTGCGTTGCCCTCTGCCTGTGTGCCCCTCTACCTGTGACCCCCTCTGCCTGTGTGCCCTTCTCTCCCCCGCCAGCAACCTCAACTTCAACTACCTCTACGACAGCGTGCCCTCCACTCTCTTCAACATGGCATCGCTCACAGGAATGTGAGTATCGCACAACCTTAGCTGTTTGATGGCTGCCAGGTGTTGCATGGCTGTCAGTCAGCTATTGAATTGCTGTCAGGTGCTGGATGGCTGTCAGGTGTTGGATGGCTGTCAATCAGGTACTGAATGCGGGTGATGGGTGGCTGTGAGTGATGACTCACGCCCCCGCTTGAGGCGCCCTTGCCGTTTTTGCACTGGTAACCATACGCAAGCAAGCGATACAGACAGTTGAGTCTGCCAAACATACCTGCTCACCCTCCCCCTCTCCTCTCTACAGCCTGTGTGAGGCGTAAGGTGCATTGATGTGGAGGATGCTGCAGCTGTCCATACCCAACCCGCTCTCTCTCTCTTACTCCATCCGAACTCCATGTGTATTTTTTCCACCCATCTGCATATCCTATCTCATGCGATCCATCCATCGCCCCTGCTCCCCCCATGCAGCCGTCTGAGTGCCAACTACCTGACGGGCACGCTGCCAGCCGTGCCTGCCAAGCTCACTTACCTGGCCGTCAACCACAACTTCCTCGCCGGCGCCTTCCCCTCTCAAAACTTCCAGTTCTGCGACATCCGCAACAACTGCTTCTCAAACCTCGGCACCTGCTACAATGCCTACGGCGTCGCCCAGCGCACCTCAGGCTGCAACATCTGCGGCACCGGCAATGCTGCCCCGCCACTGTGCGGCGGCACTGTCTGCATTCTCAACGCCACGGACGCTCTGGCGGCTGGCACTGTGAACGGCCTTGGGTCCTCCCCACCGCCCATGTTCTGCGCCCCCGTCACCATCGACCCCACTGCTGGTGCGCTCACATGCCCTCACATGTGCGTCACATGCCCACACATGTGCGTCACATGCCCACACATGTGCGTCACATGCCCACACATGTGCGTCACATGCCCACACATGTGCGTGACATGCCCACACATGTGCGTGACATGCCCACACATGTGCGTCACGTGCCGCACCTACATACACTCAACACACGTCCACAAACGGATGCGTCACATGGCACACGGTGCAGCATGCCTCTTGTTGCCCGCCTCTCCCCTCATTGACCTCTTTTTTGCCTCGCTCCCTTCCTCACCACCCCATGTTCCACCCATCCTCCCTGTTGCCCTCCCTGTTGCCTTCCTTCCCTCCCCTCCACCCCCTCTTCCACCCTTCCTACTCTCTGCCTCTCCTCCACCTCACCCGCTGGGCGTGTGGGAGCAGCGCAAGTGCTGCTGGTGCTGAGGGCGGCGCTGGGAGTGTCGCAGAGCACGTGGCTGGTGGACTCGCCGTGCGACGTGGCGGGCAACCCCCCCATGGCCACCAGCTGGGCGGGCGTTGGCTGTGATGTCGCCGGCCAAGTCGTACAGCTGTGAGTGCCACGTGCTCCGCATCATGTGTGCTCAATGCCCGCATGCGATGCTCCTCTCTGTCTACTATTGCTGGCCTGCTACGACTGCTTTGACCGCCTGACTCATGCCTTTCTTGTGTGTTGCTCCATGGTTGCATGGGTGCACGATGGTACTTGGCATCGTGGCATGGCGCCATGCTTGCTTGGGTGGTGACGTCACTGCAGGGAGCTGCCCAGCAACCTCCTGCGTGGGAATCTGCCTGCTGACGTGTCAAAGCACACTGGCCTCACCCGCATGTGAGTGCCTGCCTCACTTCTTCCCCCCCTACGCGCACCCACACCTGCACCTGCACGTAGGACCTACGCTCCATTTATGCAAGGAACTTGATCATTTGTGCAAAATTCTTAGAATCTTGCTCATTCATGCAAAAACCTTGCTCATTCCTGTTATATATATTGCACACTCCTGCTAAAATCATACCCATGGGTCATGACCACTCATCCATGCGTTCCTGACCCTCGCCATCTGCCCACTCGTCCCTCCCCTCCCCCCCCTCCCACCAATCCGCAGCAACATGGAGCTGAACCTGCTGGAGGCGCGCCTCAGCGAGTGGGCCTCGCCGCTCTCCACGCTCAAGTCGCTCCGCCACCTGTCAGTGCCCTGCCCTCCCGTCCTTCCCATCCCTGCCGTCCCTCCCGTCCCTGCACTCCCCGTCCTGTCGGCCGTGCTTGCCAGCCTGCCTACTCTCCTTGCTCTGCCCTGTCCTGCTAACATTTGTGCTCGCATGTTCACCAACCTCCCGCCTCCTCACTACCTCCTCCTGCCTTTTCTCCAACTTTCTCCATCCCCACTTTCTCCATCCCAACTTTCTCCATCCTAGCTTTCTCCAACCTAACATTCTCCACCCCCCATTTCTCCCCCCCCCCTCTCCACCCCTCCTAAACAGCGCTCTCAACTACAACTGGTTCTCCGGCCCTGTGCCATCTTATCTGCTCACTCTCTCCTCCCTCACTACGCTGTAAGTGGCACCCACTCTCACACACCCATACTGACACACGCTCACATACATGCACACGTGCACACACGCGCGCGTGCACACGCACGCACTCTCACAAGCGCGCGCGCGCACATGCACGCACACACACATGCACACTCACGCATGCGCAGACACACGCACACACTCATGCACACGTGCACGTTTATCGATTGCACACCCTCAGACTTCCTTCATGTATCCACCTGCTCTCTGTATTCTCTTCCCCAGCTAGTCTCACCCCTTCTCACACCCCACGCTTCACCCTCTCCAACCACCACTCACACGTGTCACTCACTTCATCTCCCTCCCACCCTCCACTACCCTGCCCCGCTCCCCCCTGCCCCCCCGCCTGCAGCAACCTGCAGTTCAACTACCTCACGGGCACGCTCACGGGCGCGCCCGCGGCGTCCATAAAGACGCTCAACTTCGGGTACAACTTCCTGGCGGGCACCTTCCCCGCGGGCTCCACCACGCTGTGCAACGCGCGCTCCAACTGCTTCACCGACGCCTCCAAGTGCCTCAGCGCCGGCACCTCCGCGCAGCGCGCTGCCACTGCCTGCGCCATCTGCGGCGCTGCGAATGCGTCCACAGTGCTGTGCGGTGGGGGGGTGTGCGCACCCAACACGGCGACGCAGCTCGCCACCAAGACGCCCAACGGCCCCTCCCTTCTCGTGCTGCCGCAAGTGTGCACTGGCGTCCGCGTCAACCCCACTGCCTGTGCGTCCCTCTGCCTCCTTCCTCCGCCTCCTCCCTCCCCCTCCTCCCTATGCCTCTTCCCTCTGCTGCTGTCATCTGCCCTCTCTACACTTTGCTCCCCCTTACCCGCTCCTCTCCTCCGCCCAGCCCCCTGTTTTCCCCCCCTGCGTGAACCTCTCCCTGCAGTGCCGATCCTGGCGAACATGAAGACGGCGCTGGGAGTGCCGCACCAGGAGTGGGGCGTGCAGACGCTGTGCACGGTGACCAACAACCTCAAGGGCCCGGACGATATGTGGGGGGTGTACTGCAATGCGCAGGGCACCGTGGTCGACTTCTACCTCAAGCAGCGCTTCATGCGCGGCATCATGCACCCCGACATCTCCAAGTTCACCGCCCTCACCGCCCTGTCAGTGCCGCTCGTCCACTCCCACATCGTCTCCCCGCCCACCGCTCATTCCCGCTGCTCTAATTCCCGTCCGTTCCCCTGCAAGGACCCCTCCACACGAGCTAGTCCTTCTGCTCCGTCACGCACTCATGCCGACCACTCCCCACTGGCCACTGCACCCCTGCGTGCCCCCCTGCAGGGACCTGTCGAGTAACTTCCTGTCGGGCCCGCTGGATCCTTTCATCTCGCCGCTCACCGGCCTCACTGCCCTCAAATACCTGTACGCCCTCCACGCTTCACCCTGCCCCCTCTCCCATCTTTCGCTCTTTCCTGCAACCCTTGTTCTTCGCTGCTCTCCATGCCCTTTTCTCACCTGTCTTTGCTCGTCCCTAACCTGCTATTCCCCCCACTCCCCTCCCTCCCTCATGTGCGCCGTCGTGCAGCGTGATGAGTTACAACTTCTTCTCGGGCTCCATCCCCTCCACCATCTCAGCCATCAAGAGCCTCTACATGCTGTGAGCGCCCTCACCCTCCTTCACACCCTCCCTGTCCCGATTTCAGCGCTCTCCTCTCTGCATCTCCTGCCCTGCTGCACCGTGTGTCATGTCATCGCACCCACCTTTCCCCCACCCCGTCCCCCATGTGCGTGTGTGTGTGCACGTGGTGAGCGCAGGAGCCTGGGGTGGAACTACCTGACGGGCACGGTGCCGGTGCCGGGCACGGCACTGCAGGTGCTGGATCTGGAGAACAACTGGCTCAACGGCAAGTTCCCCTCCACCGCCAACTGGTACTTCTGCACGGCGCGCGCCAACTGCTTCAACGACCCCACGCCCTGCAAGAACAACAACAACCAGGGCATCACTCAGAGGCCGTCCTGTGCCATCTGCAACAGCGCGGACGCCACAGGCACGCTGTGCGGTGGCCTTGTTGTCTGCCAGCCTGACCCGGCTGCTGTGAAGGCTGTCACAGCTGTGCCAACCACCTCCACCCCCGTGCTCGCCCTCACGTGCCCGCCTGTTCCGCCTGTGACAACGGACGCCACTGCAGGTATGACGGCGGCTGCTGCCACCGTGCTGCTGCTGGCCCATGCCTCTCATCTCTCCTCATGTGCATGCCCCATGCCTCTCAACCATTCCGATGTGCCCCACCGCCCCCCGCCACCAGCATCGGCGCTGATGAACATCAAGACGGCGCTGGGAGTGACGTACACCAGCTGGGCGCCCTCAGCCACCTGCAATGCTGTCGGCAGCTCGGGTGGCGGCGGCTTCACGGGCGTGGAGTGCAACAGTGTGGGCCAGCCCGTCAAGATGTGAGCAGCAAGCACCAGGGGAACGTTGGAGAGGGGAGGTTTCAGGGTTCACTCTCCCACAGCTGCCTCTCTAATGGGGAGTATTGGAGGGGGAGGCTTGGACAGAAGCATGGGAACTTTCAGTCAGACACTGTTGTGTGTTTTCTTCACATTTCTCATCTCCCCAAATATCAGTTTCCCCATCCTGCTCCCAGCATCGCTCACTTCCCCTTCACTCTCTCCACTTGCTCCCACCCACCTTCCTGCACCACCCCGCACCCCACCCCCTCCGCGCCACAGCGCCCTGGACAGTCAGAAGCTGTTTGGCATTCTGCATGCTGACATCACCAAGCTCACTGCACTCACGTTCCTGTAAGCCCAATCCCCACCAATGCACTTGCATGCTCACTCGTATCTTCCGGTCTGTCCATGCACAGTTTGTCGTCACATTGTGACCCTCCTCTCGTTCAGTTTTCTATCTCCCCCCCTCCCCTTTCCCCCTCCTCACCCCCCCTCCCCGCGTGTGCCACCGGGTGTGTGCTGCAGCTCGCTCAAGTCGAACCTCTTCAGGGCGCGCCTGGAGGAGTTTGCCAGGCCGATTCCATCGCTGCCCAACCTTGCAGTGCTGTGAGTCGCCGCCCAATCCTGCTGCGCACCACACTGCATTGGTTGCTCGCACTCTACTCGTCCCTAAACCCATGGCACCACTTGTTTTGCCAGCTCACCCCAGCACCACCCCAGCACCCGAAACTAGTTTACACAATGTTCTGATTCTATAGTGAAGAGTTGGTCCATACTGGCTCTCTAAGAAACGCTCTAAGCTAGCGCAACACCAGGTTCCTTTCCGCCATCATTTCATGGGGTTTGTTTCTCTGTCCTAAACAGCAAGAGTTGATGGAAATAAGGTCTCCGCAGCCCACCTGTTCTACTTCGACAGCTCACCCCAACACCACGTCTTGCCTTGCCAACTTACCCGCGATCCGTCTCCTTGGGTGTCCGTTGCGTGTGTCAATGGGTGTGCGGTCTCTGTGTGCATGTTTGTGTGTGCGTGTGCGTACGTGTGCGAGTGTCGGTGCGTGCATGTGCGTGTGCTTGTGTTTGTGGGTGCGGATGCTTGCGTGTGCCATGTGCGTGCATGTGGGTGTGTCTGTGTGTGTCTATTGCAGCCTACTGGACTTCAACTGGTTCTTTGGCAGTCTGCCCCCTGCCATGATCGGCATGCCCAAGCTCACACGCCTGTTAGTCACTCTCCAAGCACCACCCACCAATTGCCCTGTGCTCCCTTGCTCCTTAGCAAATGTTCTCACCCAAACGGATTATTCAGCCATAACATCCCAACCCGTGGAATAGCTTGGAATATCTGCTCACCCATCCATCCTCCCTCCTCCAACATTACTCTTCTCTCCTTTCCCCTCTCCCCCCCCCCCCCCCCCCACCTTTAAACCCCCCTCTCGTCCTGCTCGTGCCAGCGGCCTGTCCTACAACTACCTGACATACCGCGTGCCGCCGGTGTCAGCAGCGCTCAAGGACCTAGACGTGAGCTTTAACTTCCTCTCGGGCTCCTTCCCGGCCAACACCGCCACGTCGTGTGGCGCCGCCAACAACTGCTTCAAGGCCATCACTGGGTGCACCACCACGGGCACGGCGCAGCGCTCCACGGGGTGCAGCTTCTGCGAGTCCACCACGGCGCAGGGCATGCTGTGCTACGGCCGCGGCGTCTGCACCGTCGACGCCGCCGCTCCCTTCAACGCCGGCACGCCCAACGCTGTCGGTGCCGCCACGCTGCCGCTGGCTTGCGTCAGTAAGTACAGGGTGCTGAGGGGGGAGGGGGGGGGGAGGAGATGCTGCTGATGCTGGTGCATGTGCTCGCAGGTGGATGCTGCTGCCATTTCCTGTACTGCCTTCCCTTGCAACTCACTCTCTCCTTCCTCTCCCCCTGCCCCGCCCTCCTGAACCTGTGTGCATGTGCGTGCAGACACCGTGTGTAGCTCTGCCTCGCCTGTCATGTGTCCCAACGACTGGCGCTGCACGGGTCTGCAATGCGTCATGAACTTCGTCAACTGCTTCGGCTACCTCTGCGTTTAGGCATCATCCACCCTGCTCGCCTGCTTCAGGGCTGTCTGCTTTGCTCCAGGGCTGCTTGGTTTGCTGCAGTGCTGCTTGGTTTACTGCAGTGCTGCTCGGTTTGCTGCAGTGCTGCTTGGTTTGCTGCAGTGCTGCTTGGTTTTCTGCAGTGTTGCTTGGTTTTCTGCAGTGCAAGTCACTGGTCTTCCTTTGTCAATAGTTCAGTTTGCTATGAAGCCATTCAGTTTGGCCTTATATGCCTGGAATGCCATTTAGCCATGGAGACTGGGCGAACTTTACTCAAGACAGCGATTCGGCAGAGGATTGCAGTAGTATGTGATTTCATTTCACTGGAAAGACAACGTTTTGGTGCCAAAAAGAGTATGTACAGTGGAAAATTGTGGGGAAGTGCAATGCAAGTAGAAAATTTAGAGTTAGTTACCGTGTATTGTATAGAACGTAAATTGAGAAATACAGTTTAGGTCGCGTTTTGAGGAGGCTGGGTCGCTAAAAGCGGTGAAAACTGGAAACCGCTCGCAAACGTGGTTGACCGTTTCAAACCGCGTCAAACGAGCTGACCTACCTTGGTGCCATATACAGCAAATGCTTGTTTGTCGCACCCCGCTTTACGTTGTGCTTTGGTCTTATAAGTAGTTTTGCAATTTCGCAAAGTTTTTGTCAATTTTCACCTAGCAAAAAGGGCTTGTATAAAGCAATTGTAACTCAACGTTGACTGTGTGACTTCGGTCTATTCAGTCAAACTTCGGTTTCTGTGGTTAGTATTGGCTCATTTCACTGCAGCTTGCCCGAGGGGCTTGTAAATGGGGTGCAACTTCACAGCACAAAACACACGGGTGCAAGGTTTCCATCCGGTCCAAGGCAAATTCGCGTGCAGGGGGTGAGCATCACTTGTACACCACACAGGCCTCCATCCAGGAACAGAGCATACACTTTCCAGTATAACATGCTTCGTTGCACCGCGCCACCAGACATGTCCGCGGCAACGCCTTTCCTGCCCGCGCTGCCGTGGCACTCGCAGCGCCCCACTCACCCGCTCCGCCGTGCGCCATTACCTTCCCCCAACCACCGCTTCCCCTCGCCACCCCGCCGGCCCGTCGTCGTTGCCAGGGCCCTCGAAACCCCCGTCGTTGCTCAGTCTGCGGCTGCAGCTGCACCTGCTGCTGCTACGCTCAGCGCATGCGGCGTCGAGCCACGGTCACTACAGCCCCTCGCCGCCGCGAATGACGCAACCCTAAGCCTCCTCGCGCTGCTCGCCGGTCCCGCGTCCGCCGCGCTTCTTCTCCTCCTCGTCGCGCACGGCTTCGCGCTGCCGCCCGTTGCCGCCGTTGCCTCCGCCGCAGGAATGCCCGCGGGCGTGGCGGAACCCGCGGCGGTGGAGGAGGTGGGGGGGATGCGCACGTGCTCCGCGGGTTACGGGGAGGGACAGGCGCGGGGATGGTGCGCGCAAACGTCAGCGGAAGACGCGAATGGCGCCGCGAGCGCGGGATTGACGAGCGGAGAGCGGTTTGGGCTGCCTGAGACATTACGGAACCGATATGTGCTGCTGCGGCACGGGCGGAGCCTGGCCAATGAGAGAGGACTGATCGTCAGCAGCCTGGTGAGGCGCGCCCGCCCTTCCGCCCTCCTTCCCCCCGCTGTGCGCGTGTGTGCCGCCTACTACCCACCTGCCGCCTCCCCAAGCACTGCTGCCTTTCCCCCCACTCCTCCCTGTCCAAACCACCCCTCTCCGCCTCCTCTCCCTTCCCCCCTCCCCCCCCCCCCCCCTCCTCTCCCTCTCCCCCCTCTTCCCCTCATGCATGGCAGGCGAACGGCGTGGCGGCGGAGTTTGGGCTGGCCGCGGAGGGCAGGCAGCAGGCGCAGCGCGCAGGGCGCCAGCTGAGCGAGGTGAGCGGGGGAGGCTGGTGCACAGGTGAGAGGGGGAGGTGGGCGGGGAGGTGGGGTCGTGCGTGGCGAGATGGCGCGTGCACCCCGGGACAGAAAGCATGCACGTGAATGCGTTGGCCCACAGGTGGCGCTCACAGGCCGCTGCACGGCACACGCTCATGATCCTCATCCCGCTCCCCCCCTGCTGTGTGCCCCCACCCCCGCTGTGCTGTGTGCCCCCACCCCCGCTGTGCTGTGTGCCCCCACCCCCGCTGTGCGGTGCGTCCCCATCCCCTCATGCTGGGATGTGTGTGCTGCAGCTGCTGGAGCAGCGCGGAGTGGCGGCGAGGGACGTGGTTCTCTTCGCGTCGCCCTTCAGCCGCACGCAGCAGACGGCCGCCCTCGCTGCCAAGGAGCTGGGCATCAACGTGCTCGGCACGCGCTTCCAGGTGGGGTGGGGTGGGGTGGGGTGGGGTGGGGTGAGGTGGACTGGGGTGGGCTGGGCTGGGCTGGGCTGGGGTGGGGTGGGCTGGGGCGGGGTGGGGTGGGGTGGGGTGGGGTCCGCATGCCATGCCTTCACATCACACCCTCTTTCTCCTACACTTCCCCCAGCCACCCCCACCTCCACCTCCCTTGCTCCACCCCCCTTGCTCCACCCCCCTCTCCCCCCCTTGCTCTATGCCTTTCCCTGCTATGTTCCTTTGGTCGAATTGCTGCTTCGCTCCTGCTGGCCGCTGGTCGCTGCTCACGTGCCCGTCATCTGGCTCCGGCCAGGATCGCTCGTGCCCTTGGAGTTCTCGGTCAAAGTCACCACCTCCCGCTGTCTCCGTGCCATGCCACCCGTCCACTGCTGTCGCTCTCGCGCCTCGTTCTCTCCCCCTTGGTCTCCAGTGGCCAATTCGCGTTGACCACGTGTGCACGGTATCATCTGATGTGGAGGTGCCTCACGAGCAAACTCCTGTGTGCATGGTATGGTTGTTGCGTGACCCTCCCGAATGTGAATGCCGAATGGCATGGTCGTTTTGAGAATGTGAATGCCATGTGGCGTGCAGACAGCAGAGGAGCTGAGGGAGCGCTACTTCGGGCGCCACCTGGAGCTCAACTCGCATGACCTCGTATGTGCCCTGCTGCCACCTCCTCTCTCTCTTTCTCTCCCTTGCTCGCTGACGCGTGCACGTGCATCACACGCTCACCTGCAGCCTGATATATTTGCACTGTACTGCCGTCCTTTCTCTAACGCACCAGCATTGCTCCTCTCATGCATTCTCCAGCTCTGTCCTCCGCTTCCTCCTCTCCGCCCCCTTCTCCCCTCTGCGCTGTGTGGCAGTACCCAGCAGTGTGGGTGGACGACAGGAAGGACACGGCATTCCGCCCGGGTGGCGACGGGGAGAGTGTGGTGGCCATGGCGCAGAGAACGGCGCGCCTCATTCGGCACATTGAGGAGGATCTGGACGAGTGAGTGGACCTGCATGCACAGAAAAACATGCATGCACAGGGAGCACTAGCTAGTGAGGGGTTTCTTTGTGCAGGAAACTGGCAGATAGTTTTACTACACCTTAAGGGCGTTAATAAGCTGTGTTGGTCTCCACACGAGCTAATGAGGGGTTTCTCATTGTGCAGGAAAGTGGTGGTGCTGGTGAGTCATGGGGATACTCTACAGATCATCAACTCTCTTCTCTACTCCTGCAATCTACTGCCGCCCTCGTTCGTTCCACCCAAAGGCATTGTGGAATCCGCACCATCTCCTGATCCCACCATCCACTTGCCTTTGCATAGGCTGTTTGCCTTTCAAACAGGGGAGTTGAGACCCCTAAATCTCTAGAGCTACAGTTGAACTTTACGTCAGGGGGGCACATCGCATGTCCACAATCTGAAGGCTTACCGCCGGAAAGACACTTGAAGGTTAATCTATTTTTAGTGTTTTTTATTGATGGATAACTGTATAGTATACCAGTACGCGTTCCACAGCTACGTCACGAGCCTCACCAGCTCGAAGAATTTAGCTATGGACACCGAGGCTCTGTAATCAAGCTCTCGAAGCCCCCTTTGTCATGACTCAGCGTCCGCAAATAAACCACTTTGATTTGGCGCAGCAGGTTTGGAAACCCCACAACTCTAGTTCGGTCCAGTGAGCTACTCGCCGAGCCCAGACGTGACCGCAGCAAGGCAGCCCGAACCTCCCTGACCGAAACTGCTGTGGTGCGCTGACACACCCAGCTGGAACTTCCAACAATTGCGAACCGCCCGCACAGCCGCTGGGGAAAAAAGCGGGGATTCCTGCCTCCCACACCACTAGGCTTCCCTTTATTCTCAACCTCACCCCACCACTCTGTCATTCTCCGCACCGCTCTCCACTTCCCCTTTTTCCTGCTTCTTGCTGTGCAACGATATCATCCGCCTTCCACCAATAATCCTCACCATCATCCTAGAAGTTTTCTCGAGTCGAAGCACGCACGCGCGTTACGACCACCACCAACGTAGTCAGATGCCATGCACGCATAGCTAGCGGTGACAGTGAGTTAATGCGTTAATATGCTCTCGTAGACCCGAAGCACACGACGTACTCGTTATGGAGAAGTCTCCGAGTCATAGTCAATGGCCCGCCTGCCCTAAGCTGGGCACGACGGCGATGGTGCGCGCGGCGGCGCTGCTGCTGGTGCTGCCGGCCTTGGCGATCCTGAGCGTCGTGGATCCCGAGGTGGCGAAGCCGGCGTGGGACGACGGCGTCGTGGACGGCGTCGACGCCGACCTCTTCCGCCGCGCCATGGTGCAGATCGACGACGCGCGTCTCGCCGAGCCGCGCGGCAAGATTGCCTTTCTCTTCCTCGTGCGCGGCCCGCTGCCGCTGCAGGAGATCTGGCACCGCTTCTTCTAGGTGACTCCCGTGTGACTTTTGTGCTCCATGTGGCTCCAATTGACTCGGCATTCGCTACCGCGAGCTCCCGTTTTCAAGGGGGCGCGCATTGCTGGTTGTAGTTCTCACCGAACTTCCCCATCCATGCCTCGGCCCCCCAGCGCTCCGTCTAAGCCGTCAGCGTTCCACCGCTTTTGTTCGCTCTTACACCCCGCTCCGCCCGCCACCACCGCTAACTCACCCTACCACCGCCTCACGCGCGTGCGTCCCGCCTCGCCCCCCATGCCGCTCCGCGCGCCCCCCGCAGGGCCACGAGGCGTTGTTCTCGGTGTACATCCACGCGTCGCAGCCCGACTTCGACTGCGACCGCGCCGTCAACTACGCCGCCTTCCGCGGCCGCCAGATTCCGAGCGTGCCGGTGAGGTAAGCGCAAAGCTTTGGCCTGAGCAGCGTGTGTCCCGGCGCATGCCGCGCCGCCGAGCGCTGCCCGCTGCCCCTGTACGTGCGGCACGCACGGTGGTGCAGCATGTGGTGTGTGTGTTTTCTTTCGACCTTTTCGGTCAGGCCAGGAGGAAATGTGCGCCGCAGCGTGCGCTGCAGGAGATGTGTTTTTTTGTTTCTCACCGCCACCCCTCCACCACCACATCCCCTGCTCATGGTCCTTGGCGTGCCACGTGGCAGATATCATGGGGAGGGCCCAACCTGATCCGCGCGGAGAGGCGGCTGCTGGCGGCGGCGCTGGCGGACCCGGCGAACCAGCGCTTCGTGCTGCTCTCCGAATCGTACGCCACGCCGCTCGCCCCTGCTGCCCTGTGCTGCGCGCTCCTTGCGCTCTCGCACTTGCTGTTGCATTCTCTTGCACGCTGTGTGCTTGTGTGCGTGCATTACTGCAGGGCTCCGCTCATTCCCCACACATTCCACAGGACCACCAACTACGACCCTCCTTTTCTCTTTCCCGCCTTCATCCTCCCCCCCCCAACGGCACGCGGCGGGGGCAGGTGTGTGCCGCTGTTCAACTTCTCGCACGTGTACGACTACCTCTTCGCCTCGCCCACCAGCTTCATCACCAGGTCAGCCGCCTTGCCACGTGGATGACATTGCCATGTTGGCAGCATTGCCGGGTGGGCCGCATTGCCACGTGGGCCGCATTGCCACGTGGGCCGCATTGCCACGTGGGGCGCATTGCCACGTGGGGCGCATTGCCTGGTGGGTGGCATCAGCGTCTAGCTGCGAGCTGCATTACAGATGGACCCGGCAGCACCAGCAGGTAGAGGCCATTTTTCTTCATCTCTCCGTGCTCCCTGCCCCATCATTGCCTCCCCTATCCCAAACACCCCCACCCCGCCCCACCCCCCACCCTCCTCCCCTGCTGCATGCACGCGCAGCCATCCGAGCGAGTGGCGGTACCAGCCGGGCATGGCGCCAACTGTCAACCGCAGCCAGTTCCGCAAGGGCTCTCAGGTGGGCGCTGTGAGGGGTGGGGGTCTTGCAGGTGGGCGCTGTGAGGGGTGGGGGTGTTGCAGGTGGGCGATGTGAGGTGTGGTGGGCTCGCAGGTGGGCGCTGTGAGGAGTGGTGGGCTCGCAGGTGGGCGCTGTGAGGAGTGGTGGGCTCGCAGGTGGGCGCTGTGAGGAGTGGTGGGCTCGCAGGTGGGCGCTGTGAGGAGTGGTGGGCTCGCAGGTGGGCGCTGTGAGGAGTGGTGGGCTCGCAGGTGGGCGCTGTGAGGAGTGGTGGGCTCGCAGGTGGGCGCTGTGAGGAGTGGTGGGCTCGCAGGTGGGCGCTGTGAGGAGTGGTGGGCTCGCAGGTGGGCGCTGTGAGGAGTGGTGGGCTCGCAGGTGGGCGCTGTGAGGTGTGGTGGGCTCGCAGGTGGGCGCTGTGAGGAGTGGTGGGCTCGCAGGTGGGCGCTGTGAGGTGTGGTGGGCTCGCAGGTGGGCGCTGTGAGGAGTGGTGGGCTCGCAGGTGGGCGCTGTGAGGAGTGGTGGGCTCGCAGGTGGGCGCTGTGAGGTGTGGTGGGCTCGCAGGTGGGCGCTGTGAGGAGTGGTGGGCTCGCAGGTGGGCGCTGTGAGGAGTGGTGGGCTCGCAGGTGGGCGCTGTGAGGTGTGGTGGGCTCGCAGGTGGGCGCTGTGAGGTGTGGTGGGCTCGCAGGTGGGCGCTGTGAGGAGTGGTGGGCTCGCAGGTGGGCGCTGTGAGGAGTGGTGGGCTCGCAGGTGGGCGCTGTGAGGAGTGGTGGGCTCGCAGGTGGGCGCTGTGAGGAGTGGTGGGCTCGCAGGTGGGCGCTGTGAGGTGTGGTGGGCTCGCAGGTGGGCGCTGTGAGGAGTGGTGGGCTCGCAGGTGGGCGCTGTGAGGAGTGGTGGGCTCGCAGGTGGGCGCTGTGAGGAGTGGTGGGCTCGCAGGTGGGCGCTGTGAGGTGTGGTGGGCTCGCAGGTGGGCGCTGTGAGGAGTGTTGTGCAATGAAGTGATGTGCAGTGAGGTGCTGCGCAATGAGGTGCGGTGTAGTGAGGTGCCGCGGTTTCGCTCTCTCCGCACCACGCAAGCTGTGAGGAGAGGTGAGCGTTGTCGCACATACCTAGTACGCATTGCACCGCTTACACGTCTCTGATGCCACTCCCCTGCCACACACACCCACATTCATTTCTTTCCTTGTCTGCAACTGTTCTTGACTGGAGGAAACTGTGGTTGATTTGCTTGCTGCAACACTGTGCCCCACCCGTATGTGCCCCACCCGTGTGTGCCCCACCCGTGTGTGCCCCACCCGTGTGTGCCCCACCCGTGTGTGCCCCACCCGTGTGTGCCCTGCCCTTGTGCGCGCCCTGCCTGTTTGTTCCCTGCCTGTGTGTGTCCGGCCCATGTGTGCCGTGCCTGTGTGTGCCTTCCCGTGTGGGGCGGGCAGTGGTTTGCGTTGACGCGCCGCCATGCGGACATGGTGGTGGCGGACACACACGTGTACGACGCCTTCCTCTCCAACCACGCCATGGTCAGCCACTTCATCCTCCACCTCCGCTCCCCCTCCCATCCCATGCACTCCCCTCCCATGCACGCCGCTCCCATGCACGCCGCTCTAATGCCTTTCCTGCTTTGAGGTCACCTTGTCCCCTCCTCTCCTTCATTTACACCTGCCTTTCTCTCGCAGCCTCTTCTTCCTGCGTCTCTCTCCTCTGCTGCCCTGCCACTGCTGCTCCTCGCCTCCACCCACACAGCAATGGATCTTGCCCCGCCGTGCTCCAGGACCATGCCTTGTCTCCATCCAACGGAATCTCTCTTCCATCCCTCCGCTGCCCCCCGCCTGCAGATTCCTGACGAGAGCTACATCCAGATGCTCCTTCTGGTACCTTCCCTGCGCCCTCCTATCGATTGATCCTCTGCTATTGTTCACGCATGCACCTGCATCTTTTCCTCTCGCTTCTTTCCACTGTGTGCCTCCTTCCAGCATGTCTTTTCTTCCACCATGTGCCTCCGTCCGCCCTTGCTGCCACCCCTATCGTCCACCTATGCTGCTCTGCCCCTGCCATGTGTCCCCGTCCCCCTGTGCCCCTCACCTCCCACCCCCCGTCTCTCCCTCCACTTCCTCTCTTCCCAACCCCCTCCCCCACTCACCAGATGCAGGACCCAGGGGGCGTGGAGCCGCGGGGGGTGACGTTTCTGCACTGGCAGCCGACAGCGGGGCGGCACCCGCTCACCATAACCCCGGAGCAGCTCACGCCCGACTTCCTGCGCTCCATCCAGCGCACGCGCCTGCCGCCCAAGGAGGCCATCGGCTTCCTGCGTGTGCCCGCGCCGCGCCTCTGCCAGCTGGCGGGGCGCCCCACGCACTGCTTCCTCTTCGCCCGCAAGTTCAACGCCTCCGCCATCCCCGCCCTCCTCGCCCTCTCCCCCGCCCTCGGCTTCTAAACCACCCCCTTCCCTTCCTCCTCTCCTGTCTCCTCGGCTTCGAGACCCTAAACCCTGAACCTTGACCCCTGGTCTCTGGTGGCTCCTGGTCTCTGGTGGCTCCTGGTCTCTGGTGGCTCCTGGTCTCTGGTGGCTCCTGGTCTCTGGTGGCTCCTGGTCTCTGGTGGCTCCTGGTCTCTGGTGGCTCCTGGTCTCTGGTGGCTCCTGGTCTCTGGTGGCTCCTGGTCTCTGGTGGCTCCTGGTTTCTGGTGGCTCCTGGTCTCTGGTGGCTCCTGGTCTCTGGTGGCTCCTGGTCTCTGGTGGCTCCTGGTTTCTGGTGGCTCCTGGTCTCTGCCGTGCCGCCATGGATGCCGCACCCGTGTAAGATGCATGCAGGCATCAGCATCAGCTTCACCATATCAGCCTGCCTGCGCACAAGACTGGCGACTACGTGTGGTGGACTGGTGCACATACACTGACTTGGGAAGATGACAGTAGCTCGAATCCTTCCCCCCTCGACTGCACATCTCATGTCACCACCACCTGTGATTTAGGTTGCATTTCTGGCCCGCGGCGGACACCATCCGAACTTTGGACACCTTGAGCTGTTCTTTTATTTGTTATCGATTGAAGGTATAGAGACAAAGTTACCTCATGATTATGCCCTCAGATATCAGCGTAAAACACGCTGATTTCGCCGATTTTGTAGCTGTGGTTTTCGTTTTCCCTGAAAATTCAGCATACCGTATCACCCCGGATATAAGCGCATGTGCGCTTATAATAAAACAGTGATTTTTAGGGGGGTGCGCTTATAATTGAGTCAGATTTATAAGCGCATGCGGTTATAAAATGACAATTACAGAATTATGTTTTAAATTCATCAAACTGTACATCTCGGTCGTGCAATTTCAATCGAATCAGAACATTACAGCGTCCCAAATCAGAGAATCGCGCGAGGGCGATTTCTGCCGCCGCACAGGGGCGAGGACACGTCACAACGCAGAGGGATGTGTCAAGCTCGCCCCGAACCAATGTACGAGCCAGTCGCACGGAGTCGCTTGCTCGCAGCGCAGAGGCACAGTCATTCCCGAGCCCCCCCGCCTGCCCCTTTTTCTCTCGCACAACGCACAGGACAGTCGTTTCCAGCGCCCATCTTCCCTCCCCCCCCTCTCAACGATGTGCTGTCAGTCAGTCAGCTTCACGCCGTTTCGCTTCTCCTGCGAATCGCTCGCCCTCGAGAGAGTCAAACAAAGTAGGAACGGATCTGGACTCGCTGCAACAAGGGAAATCGTTACTGTATTAACTAGGATTTAATTGTAGAAATTGTTGGAATAACCGAAAGGTTATGATAAACATTCCCGAAGGTTTCCACTTTCGCGTCACTTCATAACGAAATATGCGACCGTACTAGTACCGCAATAGCTCATATAGAGCACGCGGAAGTTCAAGTGTCACCCGAAGGTCAACGGTCGAAGACAGTCAACAGTGACCCTTGACAACCATGGCCAAGGAAGTCGCGTCGCTCAAAACTCGTGGCACCTAGAAGCTGGTCCCCCGGACATCTGCCAAGGGGAGAAAGATTCTCAGCGGCAAATGGGTGTTCCGCATCAAAACGCTGGCGGACAGCTCCATCGACAAGTACAAGGCGCGCTGGGTGGTCCGCGGCTTCGAACAAACGCACATGGTGGATTTCGATCTCACCTACGCACCAGTCGGACGGCACACCTCAGTGCGGATTCTCATCTGCATCGCCGCCATCAAGCGACGACCACTCCGTCAAATCGACGTCGGCAGCGCATTCCTGTACGCCCCTGTCGACGCGATTATCTTTGTCGAGCAGCCGCATGCCTTCGAAGAGACCGACGGGGCCGTTTGCCTGCTCCAGAAATCCCTTTACGGGATTAAGCAAGCACCGCGTCTGTGGCAGCAGTACCTTCACATGGTGCTAACAAGCATCGGCTTCCAACAGCTGCCCCACGACCTCGGAATGTACCGGAAGGAGTCACGCGGCAAGTTCATTCTCCTCGTCGCCTACGTCGACGACCTCCTCTACACCGGTGACGACACGGAGCTACTGGACCAATTCGAAGCAGACCTAAAGGCGCAGCTGGAAGTCACCATCAACCACAACGTCACTCAATTTCTGGGTCTCAACATCACCCAGTCTGCCTCCTCCATTCATCTCTCCGCCGCCAAGTACGCCGAGACCCTCGCGAAGAAATTCGGCATCGCACCAATCAATCTCTCCACCCCGTTCCGCACTCCTCCTCCTACCCACACTCCGGACACCACGCCTCTGTCTCTTGAGGATCATCGGCTCTACCAGCAGCAGCTCGGGTGCCTTCTCTTCGCCGCCGTCACGTGCCGGCCCGATCTCTCCTACGTCGCAAGCCAGCTCGCTCAGTATATGAAGCGACCTGAAGGGGAGAATCTACAGGATCTGCGCCGCGCACTTCAATACTTTATCTCTACTCCCGACGTCGGACTCACCTACGAAGCCAACTTAACAGCCACCCTGCAGCTGCACGGCTACGTAGACGCTGACCATGCAGGAGATGTTGACAACAGACGCTCCTGCACAGGATTGCTTTTCCAACTTCAACCTGCTGGATTCATCTCTTGGAACTCGCAGAAGCAGGAACTCATCGCCCTTTCGTCAGCAGAAGCAGAATTCATCGCCGCCAGCGCAGCTGTTCGTGAAGGACTGTACCTGATGGAACTCCTGTAGGAAGCGAAAGTGACGATGAACGAGCACTTCACGTTACTCTGCGACAACCAAAGCGCGATCAAGATCGCAAACAAGCCCGGCTTTGTGAACCGCACAAAACACATCGCCCTTCGCTACTTCTTCGTCAAGGACGAAATCGACAAGGGCAAGGTCAAGCTCACGTACTGCCCAACTGGCGACATGGCAGCCGAATTTCTGACAAAGAAACTGCCACGTCAACAGTTCCAGCACTGCGCCAACTTCTGCGGAATCACCAAGAAGTCCCACGTGGCTCGCCTTCAGGAATGAAGGGGAGTGTTGGAATAACCGAAAGGTTATGATAAACATTCCCGAAGGTTTCCACTTTCGCGTCACTTCATAACGAAATATGCGACCGTACTAGTACCGCAATAGCTCATATAGAGCACGCGGAAGTTCAAGTGTCACCCGAAGGTCAACGGTCGAAGACAGTCAACAGTCGTGACCCTTGACTGACCGGTACCGCACGAGGCAGTTACGAAGAGCAACATGGTAACTGTCTAGAATGGCAATAGTCGTGGGTTACTGTAGCAATGTAATTCAATTAATAAGGGAATGTTCCCCTCAGAGTACATGGCTAGCTAGGAATGCTATTTATACTCTTGTACTCCTATCTTATAATCATCTTGTTCTCTTTCAATTTACCAACAAGGTCGTTACTGAGAGTTCTCAGTTTCTTCTTACACTTGGCAAACCTTATCCTATCCACTACGATCCTTCAGTTATATCAACATGGTATGAGAGCTAGAGTGGATTATAAGGCCTGCCAAGCTCTTGTCCCTATCAGAACAATCTCCTTATAAATTATTCATAACATCTGCATCACTATGGCTCCAGAAGGAAAAGCCACTGCAGACTCTCCGGGCCCACCATCAGCAACTTCACCCATTGCACCATCAGCGGTGACCTCCGTCAGCGCCGCTCTCGTTGAGCAGCTGGTCGCCCGCATCAACGCCCTTGAAAGCCATCAAGCAATGAGCATCGACGGCTCAAGCTATGCACGTGGAGTTGCTGGACTTCCTCTCCCTGGAGAAGACCGCCGCGTCAACTCCGAGAGATCATTGTGAAGATAGTAGGTAGAGTTAGGAGCCATAGCTAGGTAAGTCCTAGCTAGGCAAGAGAAGTTTAGGCAAAAAAGAGGAGGTTTTCACTAGCAGCAATGAGGATACATATAGCAAACCCTAGATGGGTTGTACTCGCTATAGAGCACCCCACTACAGGCTAGAGAATAACATTCTGACACACCCCCATAGCCAAAGTGGGGTGTAATCAGTACAATGAGCAAGCAGGTATAGAGCAAGAGTTCAAAAAGGTAAGCAAAGCTAGAGCTAATCACAGCGGGCAAGTGAGGAGGAGGAGGAGCTGTGGAGGTAGAGAAGATGGGAGGCAACGACTGAAGCTACAGAGGCACGGGCACAGGAGCGGCTGACTCAGAGGCTACCGAAGCAAGGGCGACGGACTACTGGAGTAACTGGCTCGGCGGCTATAGAAGAGCGGCAGGAGCAACGGACCCACTGGCGACTGGTGCAGCAGGCTCACTGGCTACCGAAGCAAGGGCGACGGACTACAGGCGCTGCAGGCGACACGACAGGTACCTCCACACAACCTCCTCCAACTGCCCCACACCCTCGACACACACCCACTGCTCAAACCCTAGCTCCACTCCCACGCACCCCCCTAAAACCCTAAACCCCAGTCTCCCACTCATCCACCCCCCTCAGCGACAGCTGCAGCAGTGGGAGACAAAGGAGGAGGAGGAGAAGGGCACGGCGCGCACAACGGACACCCCCACAACCACCACCCCCACACTCCTCACCCCCAAACCCTAAAACGGGTGGGATAGGGGCAGGAGCGCGGGGGACGGAGAGGGGGGGGGAGGCGCGCGCCTCTAGGGCGCCAGAACGGACGGGTGGGGCGAGGGAAGGGGCGTGGCGCGCGCTGCTCCCCTGGGCGCCGCGACGGACGGGCGGGGGGGACGCGCGCGCGGCTCCCCAGGGCGCCGCGACGGCCTGGCGGGGCGCGCGCGGCCTCCCGAGGGCACCGCGACGAGCTGACGGGGCGCGCGCGGCCTCCCCAGGACGTCGCGACGACCACGCAGGGCGCTCGCTGGCTCCCCAGTGCGTCGCGACCGACGGGCGGGGCGCTCGCGGGCTCCCGAGGGCGTCGCGACGGACGGACGGGGGGCTCGCGGGCTCCCCAGCGCGCCGCGACGGGCAGGGCGGGGGGGCGCGCGTGCTCCCCAGGGCTCCGCGACGGACGGGCGGGGCGCGCGCTG